ATACTTTGTCTTCTTCCTCTATTAAATCAGTCATGCCACTTAAGCTCAATATGTGAAGTCAGCTAAATGTATTTATGCTGAGCTGTGTAAGAAGTTGTGTATGCTTTAACTAAGGAATCATTGTTGCAATTAGGCAAGAAGGGGAAATAGATAATTTTGAGGATGACAAGACATAAATACCAAAAGTTTCATGTCAAAAAATTGTAAACATGCTTGAGAAATGAGAAGTATTTTGGCTTCAACAAGAAGATGTTTGTGTTGATGAAGTATTACGTATCCACAAGCTTAAGACGTAGTATTAACTCTAAACACAAATAAAGTATTGTCCCAAACAACATTATACCTATTGACAATTGGAAAGGGGTCCTCTCCAGATCCCTTCCACCTGAGCCACAAATCCGGACCCTTGAAATTTGATCCAACGGCTAAAAATAGGGGCCCCCTTTAAAAGTTATAATCACTTTAGCCATTGGATCAAATTTTAAAGGCCCAGATTTTACGCTCAGGTGGTTAAGGTGGAAGGGATCCAAAGAGAATCCCTTTCCATTGACAATTATTACCATGTGGAGGCAAGAAAACTAAAAAAATTATAGCTTATTACAATGTGGAGCTTATTCTTATGCATACCTGACCCAAGTTAAGATCATAATTTTTTATTAGTCCAAAGATATTATTTTTTATAGAGTATTTAGAAAGGTTTTATTGTATATAAAAAATTGAGTGAAGTGCCGATTTAGTCCCTGACCTATCACCTCAGTGAAAATTAGGTCCCTGTATTATTTTTCGGTAAAATAAGTCCCTAAATTCATTAAAAATTGCTAATTTCATCCCTACTATTATATTCAAAGCTATTTTATCAAAATTTTTGTCAACTTAAGTCACTTGACACACTTTAGGGTGTAATACTGTTATTTCCTAGCATATAAACCCTAACCATGTCATATAGGTTGCAAATCTAACATCTAATTTACCCTCCAAAGTTAACTTACACTATTTCTTATATAAAACTACCAATTTACCCTCCAAAGTTAACTCCATACACTATTTCTTTATGAAAAACTACCAATATACCATCCAATGTGTATCACATGCAAGTAACATGACTTAAATTGACGGAAAATTGAATATAGTAGCTTTGAATATAATATTATGGATGTAATTGGCAGATTTTTATAATTCAAGGACTTATTTTTGTGAAAAAAATAGTTTAGGGACTAAATTTTCACTGACGTGATAGTTCATGAACTAAATTGGCAATTCACCCTAACAAATTTATAATATGAACCATTGAATATCATCTCCAAATGAGATATCATATGTCAAACTTTTATTTGATGGCTGATGTGGTTAATTGAATACAAATATTAAATCTTCTTCTATGTGTCAAATGTTTATTTTATTATTATATTAAGCCCATAGTTATATTAACTATTAAAAATGATTAAAATTTTTTAATTTTTATTCTATTGGTTATCAATGGAATCCATGCATCAAAAATTAAATTAGATATATTTGACTCTTTTTTGTTGCTATGAACAGCTAGAACGTGGAAAGATACGTGGAACATGGCAATCCCTATTCATGTTTTGAGCGTGGTTACAATGGTTACAACCAGCTTCCAATGATAGGTGGGAATTGGTTATGATTATGTATATTAAAGAAGCATCTCTGCTCACGTGATAACAACACGTTCTATTCAAAAAACTAGCTCTATCACTAGTAGAACATTAAGGATCACAGTGAGTAGAAGACTCTCTTCTGGGTTCTCTGTGTATTCAGAAGGCCTTTCTTGTATATCAGTATATTCTTCTTCTACGACAATGGTATCCTCAGGTACTTGGCTATTATCATTGAAACCCTTCTGTACAATATACACGCATGACGCATGCTTACCCTTATGTATAATTACATGAGTTTGTTCCTGGGTTCACATGTATATATTTGATTAAGTGCATGAATCTTGATATATGCTTGTAATCTTGAAAGGCTTGCCTGATTGCATGGAAACATACATATATATACTTGTACATTATAAATGCAATATTGATTTGCGGTTTACACGATACACATACATATATTTTCTTGTTTTAAATAGCATGTAATGATTGTAATCCTTGTTGGAGTCTATAAACTCTAATTTAAAAGTTCCAACACTTCCAACATGGATTTTGACCATTAAAAGTAGGCTTTCATCGATCAAAGAATCCAAGTGCAACACATGTTCTACATCAATCAACAGCTTCACGTGCACGTGGACGACCACCGTTAACCAATATTGTTTACAATACCCAAATATATGGTGGGGAAGCATATGCTTCAAACTAATAATTTTCTTCCAATTAGCTGATTAGAGCATAGATAACGGGAAGGGATCTTATTAATTTTTATCTTTTGATCTTCTTCAAATCATTCGATACGACGGTCGAAAATTAAAAGGGTGTGTGAGACATAAAAATAGGTGTGTGGATAGCACACCCCTAGATAAAAATTAGCTGTTATAGAGCACTCTATTTCTTCATGTTGTATTTGGCTCAATTTTATCCTAGTAGTGTAAGGAATGCCTTACACTTTGATAATTGATGTTAAAGAAAGTTGACTTCACTATAAAACCACTTAACAATATGAAAAGTAGCCCAACTTACTCATACAATTTTGTAATGTCCATTCTCTCATAAATGTGGGATTCATTCTCAACACGCCCTTCAAGTGAGGCAAATTTTATAGCCTAATACATGAACAACACAAATGAGGTGGCGTGGAACACGCATGATGGTTGGGCTTCACACTCAGAATAATTTGCTTTGATACCATGAAAAAAAAAGTTGAGGTTTTACCATAAAATCAATTGCCAATATAAGAGCCCAACTTACTTATAAACCACTGCAAAGTTCCTTCTTCCATCAATGTGAGATTCATTCTCAACAACTGTACTCGTTGCCCAAGGGAATTTTGTGTTTCATTTATTTTTCTACTTTAAAAAAAGTTGATTAGAGTATTGTGCTTCTCTTTTTGTACTCGAATTTGAATTGATCTTCTTGCCGTTTAAGTAAATTTTGTATGGAATATCCATTGTATCGAGAAAAAGAAAATTTCACTCCAAAACACACATAAACGAATTGCAAAGTGATGAGATGAAATTTTGTATCATGCCCTGTTTTAGAAATGCAAATGTTTATGTGTTGATGATGTGGTTTATGAGCTTTGTGAACTAACTATCGAACGAATTTATGGTTGTGCATTACTTTTAGAAATGTAATGTTTTGTGCAATTACTTGGTCTGTGACATGAGATTCGAGAGACTAGCCATGACAATTTTTTATTTGATATACTCGCTCATTTGCGATGCTTACACTTGTGTTAGTACCAAGTCTACGATCGAGACGAGCTTCACATTGCAATTACGCTTAGAATAGATATCTTTAGTGCAAGCATGTACAAGTTTTGCATTAGGTAATTAGGACCCAGGTGTGATGCACTTAGCGTGAACTTCACATGATTGTGGTATATGAGTGTAACTTGTATAAACACAGAGCATGTTCATGTTAGAGTCTCTTTGCACGGACTCGTGTGTCTGCATTTTTGAGATTTACCCGTCTTGTTGAACTAAATACTTTTCAACTATTGTTTTTTATTTTCATATGAATTATGTTGCATGATTCTGAAAGCTATACCAGTTTTTACAATGAGGGGTTAATATGTTCAAAAAAGACAAGTGATTTTTAGAAATCTTTATTTTTGTCCATTCACACTTTTTTGTTCTGTACCCTTCCATGATTTAGTAGGCTTTGTTCACTCACACTTCTTGACATCGATGTGTGGTGGCATAGTCTTCCCTCATTCGAGTAGGGACTATTCTTAGTAAACTATAATTAACATCTTCGACACTGTTCTAAAAACCGTGGCTCTAGGCTGCTGGTCACCGCCCCGATTAGGCTCTAGGCATTTGAAAATTAAGAATGTGCACCTAGACCCGTTGCAGCTAAGAATCCGCCTAGCCCATTTAAATCCACCTAAGCACAGGCCTAGGTCATGACTCTCACTTAGATAGAAAATTGATAACTTTCATTTTCATTTTATTTTGTCAATAAAATGTAAGAGACTTGTTAGGTAGTACATAACAACATATTTACCACGTCAATTCCATCACGGGCATCAACAGCTCATGGTAGAAACTATTTAATTACCACGGTCAAGTGTAGCTTGTGGTAGATAACATCAATCCACCACGGTTAGATTCTAGCCCATTGTTAAAAGTGAATAATCTACAAAGGTTTTTAATCCCGTGATGGAATATCAAAACCACCACGCAATATGCTTGTAGTGGTTACTTCAAACGTCCACACTGCCTTTTGAAAATTCACCACGCAATCGGCCCATGGTGGATGTTTTTATGTTTTTTTTTTTAATATATTTAGAATCATTATATTACTTATTATTTATTACTATATTGATTATTGATTGCAACAAAATATTTCTTTCATAATTTATTATTTATTATTATATTTGAAATACTACACTTCTATTTAACCTTTAATTCCGATAATATCCAATAATCCTAATTAAAAATGATGCGGAGAATTTCAATCAATAAATGACATGAATGTTACAAATAATGATAAATAAAATCTACAGAACGTGGGAGGGGAGGCAAGGAGACCCCCATTGCTTTCGTGACTACCTAGAACACCCAAATTTGGTTTGTCTTCATTGCGATTTGGCCAAAACAAATAAAAAGTGATAATTACAATTCAAGATCCATGTAAAATAAAAATAGAACTATATATGTAAAATTTAAGATATCAAATTTTTACCATAATTACAACATAAAAACTGATATGTATAATTTTATTTAAATTTATTAACCCATTAATGGGTGCTGCACGGTATCAGAGTCCCAATATACTTTTAGTTTTATGGCTATAAGAGAGTCCCAATGATGGTATAATTGTAAACCAACTAACATATAATAAAAGTTATTATATTTTTATTGGACAGAAAACTTAATTAAAAACCCACGAAGCGAAGAAACTGTCATTCAAGTTCCCAGTCACTTGGAGCTATATTTGGTTATCCCCTCAATCCTTCTCTTCACATCGTTCTTTTTTTCTAGGATGCAAAAGATTATTCACTGATCTCTCTTTATAAATTTGGTATGAATTGAGTGGTCTTGTAGTTGCATTTGGCTCTTTTGCGATACTATCACGATCTCTCAAGCTCTCAAGCTCTCAGCCCTCTCACTGTCTCTTTCTCTCAGTGAGTTTGATTTGGATTGTCTCTCTCTCTCTCTCTCTCTCTCAGGTTGGAATCTCGGTTTCAGACTATATATATCTCGATTCTGGTATTTTTTGTGCCTCTTGATTCTGGTATGGCAGTTTCCTAGGGTTTCTTTCTACGAATTTTCTTGGTGTTATTTCATCATTTTTCTGCAAATTCCAACCCTATCTATTCTCCATAAGTTCTCTCGTTGTTTAGGGTTTTTTCTATGTTTTACTTCATCACTAATTGCTAATATTGTTGGAGGATTTTTTGTAATTGGAGCTGACTTTTTTTTTTTTGGTCATTTGTGATCACTGATGATTTATAATGTAATTGTTGTTTTGGGATTTTAAAAGTATGTTGAGGAGGTGCGTTGATGTGCCATCAATGTCACATGAACAACAAGGATTGGGTAGTTCGCTGTAAAGAGTGTAAGAGGAAACGATTTTGTATTCCTTGAATACAGATCTGCTATATATTGCTTTAATATTTCTAATTATAACTTATTAACGATCGATGTTGGGTTAGTAGAATCCAGTAAATGATATTTGATTTGGTTTCAAAAGGAGAAAGGGGTTACGGTTTACCTTCTTATCTGGTTGGTGATAGAATAATGTGCATTTGGTCTTGAAAACTTCTTGAATGGAGTTAAGATTTTATATTTAACAATCTAATGAAAACTTATCACTTTATCTCTCTTTGCTTGTCACTTTAATCTTTTGGTTATTTTGTCCAGTATTGGGTACTATGTGTATGCCTCAATGAGAAACCTGGCAATACTATCTTGTAGAGGCTTTAATCTGCATCTGCAGAGAGGCTAGGTTTTGTTAGTGAAGCTTCTATATGTATGAACTGAAACAACACTTGTTTAAATTTTGGCTAGTGTTTGTTAGTCGGCCTAGTGTGGTGTATTGCTTTTGTCTCCAATAATGAATTAATCAAGTTCACTTTTTTCACTTGATATATGTGTAAAATAAGCAGGGGATTGACAATTTGACATAAATCGAACAGGACAAGATTATAAAAATTGGGACATTGAAGTGTTTCCTTAAATGTTTGGCAGATTGAAGTTTGGAGACGGTTTGATGCTAGAAGGTACTGACTTAAGTGCTATTACTCTAACTGAGAACATATTTATGGTAAATGGCCATTGCTTAATTACTGTAATGTAATCCCCATGGAAAACTGTCATCTCTCCTCTCTCGCTCTCTCACACACACAGAGGAAAGCATGCACATTGATATTCATATGCTTGATACTAATGCATGAGGTCTCTTTGTGTCTCTCTTTCTAGATTTTCACTATTGTTTTTCATGTCACAATACTCTTCTAGTAAGAAAGTTAATCTATGGCAGTTGGTTTGAAATAAAAATGGAGCCTTGAATTCTAGTGATCATTTATTTTTTACAGGCACCATGTACTCACTTGGACCATGATTGCTTGCACCTTTGTGTAATTGATTTTGTGGATTTAAATTTTTTTGTATATGATGTCCTTGAGTGATGAGTTTTGATTTCTAAGCTTGATATTTTTCCTTGTGTCTCATAGGTGGTTGGTGGTTCTAATTCATGATGGTTTATAACTCATATCAACTACTACATTTACAGGTACCTGCAAATTTGAATTATGATTGGCTTGCTGGAGATGTGTGTCTTCTTGAAGAAACGATTGCAAGGAAGATGAATATCATTGGAGGATCAATGTTGGAACTAGGACTTGAGTTTTGTTTTGGAGTGTGAAACAAAGTCTATACATGTTTTGGTACATGAATGTAAAGTATAACTCAGTGATTTTGTGTAAATGTGCAATTTTGTAAATAAATATCTTTATTATATATATATTTATTTATTTATTAAATAAATTTTTTTTTATTTTTTATATTTTGAATTTTTTTTAATAACGGGCATTAGCCGTGATCAATTTGTAATCCACAATGGCCATAGCACGTGGTGTTAGCTATCAATCTACCAAGGGCATAATTCGTGGTTACATTGCATTTGACAATGGGCATAGCCCGTGGTAGAAACAAAGACTTTTCATCACATCTAGAATACTAACGGGCATGATGCCTGTGGTAGATTGCAATTTATCACGAGCATCCACCGTGGTAGATAAGCTTTTTTCTTCTAGTGGTACTTGAGTGAACACTTATTATATACTCATTTCCTATGTTTTCAATATGTTCTAATACTTTATAATGTATATGTCATTTTATTTTGCAATTAATGTATCACAATACAGTTATTTGTTTTTTTTTTTTTTTAGTATGAATAGGCACTTACGTACATAATATATAATAAATTTACTTAAATCTGCTTAATCCGGTTAGGCTCCCGCCTAAACCCCGCCTAGTTGCCTAGGTGCTAAGTCTCAATCCGCTGCCTGACTAGCGTCTAGCATATTTTAGAATCTTGATCTTCGGATATGTTACATTAGTGTACTTCCACTGTACATAACTAGATGCTTTGTTTTTCTTTTCATGTATGTATTAAAGGTTCATCACATACATGTGCACTCTCAGTCCTATTTTAACTTCAGTTTTTAATTTATTTGTATAGTTACACATCACTTACTTGTTTTAATTTCGTCCCCCTTTATGTGTCTGCGAACATACCTTGATTTCAGTGGCTACGTAGATATCCGAATTAGAGTGTGTTAATTTGATATCATAGTTAATTTCATTTTGCACTTAGTTTGAATTGCTCTTCCTACCATTTAAAAAATTTAGTGCAAAAAAAAATCATTTCACTCCAAAAAACATATAAACCACTTGCAAAGTGATGAGATGAAATTTCGTGATCATAGTTAGTTAAACTTCAGAAACATGTTTTACTGAAGAATTTAAGATTTTTTTTTTTTTTCAGTACGAACACAATTTGGTTGCTTTCACACTCACAATATTATAAAGGTGAGAAACCAATCACGTTTTATTGGAGGTGGACAAACCTCCAACATTATTTGTATACCTGGACACACAGACCAATGCAGTTGTGCCGGTGGTGACCTGCCGACTTATGATTGTTCCATATCTACCATTATAGCTATCCAGAAGCGGGGGTAATTTTGCTCACAACCCAAAATTTTTTATAGATGTCCATTACACACTGATCATTTGTCACGTGTTTTTTAATTTAATTTTGGTTAGTGTTTTTAAAATAAAAAATGTAACTTTAATGTGAAAGTTAAATAGAATTAAGTGAAATGACAGATAACAAATAATTAAGCCTGTAGTAAACATACAACATAATTATGATGATAGGTAAAAATACTCTCTTCAGAATCAAATGCCCATTCTGTTTGTTCAAATAAAGTAGTAGTGTTCCGATTATGCTGCAAATAGACAAAAGGGATTTTTAGATTTTAGATTCTCGAAAAATCCCTTTTTTTTTAATACTTGTATTCTCTTTTTATCCAGAAGTACTGTAATTTCGTCTCATCATGCTATACTCGCACACACATTATAAACATGTGACAGCTTTGGATTAGGATTGTTTGCGCTTCCACTTTCGGTGCCCTTCAGTGCCCTTCTGCTTGTGTGATTACAGCTAAGCTACGTCAACATTTTATATTATTATTCATTTTTGTCTTATTATCTCTATAAAAAAAAACAATATAAAATGTTGACGTGGCTTAACCGTGACCACACAAAACAGGAGAGCACAGGAAGGGACAAGGATTGTCTGCCCTCCCACTTTCAGTGCCCTCCCGTGCCCTCTTGTGCTCTCCTGTTTTGTGTAGTCACGATTAAGCGACGTCAATATTTTATATTATTTTTTTTATAAAGATAATAAGACAAAAATAAATAGTAATATAAAATATTATTGTAACTTAATTCTGACTACAAAAACAAGAAGGTAGAGGAAGGCATCGAAAGTGAAATGACAAACCATCGTTATCCGATAGTTTGGGAAGTGAGGTTGGAGCATGACACCTGTGTAATGATTCTATACACAAAGTCACCAACCTCGATAGGGTTCTCGCATAATTTAAGTCTCGTATAAAAGTGGAATCATCATCGTGCCATTTAAAGATATAAAATATAAGTTAGAGCAAGATATTTTTGTGAGGTTGGTAAGACCGTCTGTGTAGTGAGCGGCTTCATCGAAGATTGTGCTCTACCACTTTTCTTTTGGAAGAGGATTTTTTCAGATTCTATCAATTAATTTTATATGTTCATTATACATTGTACGATTAATTTTCGTTAAATATTATTTATATTTAATTTTAAATAAAAAATTTATAATAATTTCTAACGATACGATATATGGTGAATGAACACAATTGATTGATTATTTGAATCTCTACAAATAGGATCCGATAGGGTCCTATTCCTTATCTTATTTCCCTTACTTTGTTAACACTATTATTTCATATTAAAATGACGGTGTTACTATTTACATTCTTTTTTTTACTTTTAACACATTTCTTTCAATTTTATGTTATTAAATCAAATGAATAAAAAATAATCAAATGATATCAATTAACAAGAGTATAAAAAGTGAAAATAAATGTGTAGATATCAATACTTTAAAAATAACATAAAAAGTGAAAGCTCTCGCACACTTGCCGAATCCTATTCTTAGATACTATTTTTAGCTTTAGAATAATTAGGTTTTCCTCATTTACTTGTCCAAGCAACAACTTTTAATCTGAATTTCATATCAGAAGCTAGAGCTTTCGTGCACTTTTTAGTTTACAATTAAAACACTAAATACATTTTAATTAGTATGTAAATTCTATACTTAACCAGAAAAAACCTAAGTAGCCTCTTCATTTTTTTTTCCTAGTAAGTATGCAAATCCATTGATTCTAAAATGATTAGTTAAAGAGCGTTGAATGAGTATAGCAAGTTCATAACAGTTTGTTAAATGGTAGAATCGCATACCCATATATCCTTAATGATAACCCAATTTGTGTAGAAGGTTTGAAAAACTTTATAAATGGTTGGTGCGAGAATCTTTTTTTCTCTTCGTTCGGGTTGAAATTCCAAGCAAGATTTTTATGGAAACCTACTGTTAGCATTCTATTCTCAATAGTCTGTACGTATTCCTTCTTAATATATGAATATCGTACTTACACTAAAAAAAACTGAGGCTGTTTCTTAAAAATTTGGTTGTGATCAAATATCTGTGTGAGAGAGAGAGGGAGAGAGAGAGATTGAGTTATGACGTGTTATGTGTGCTTCATAAATTTAGCATGTGTTCAAACTTTAAACAACAATTAGTGCTGCTCTATGGTCGCAAAAAAAAGGTTTTAGCTCGTCACTTTTTAAAGACTTTTTTCTTTTGGTCGAAAAGGTAAATTTCATTGCAGCAACTTTTTTAAAAGACCTTCGATAACAAGATTTAACAGCCTTCAAGTCTTGTCAAGAAACTCACAAAGGTCCCAAACACTTTTTACCTCTCTCTCTCTCTCTCTCTCTCTCTCTCTCTCTCTCTCTCTCTGCTTTTACGTTTTGTGAATTTCCTGTCCAATCCATAATTAAGCTCCTAAGCCCAGCAAGACTGGGATTGGGCTGCGTAATCTTGACTCAACTTTGCTACATCAACAGTACCACTTCATCAAATTTTCTACACTTTAGTTTTTTTTTTTTTTTTTTTTTGTTTGGAAACTTTCTACACTTTGGAGTTTGTTTGATGGTTTTTTGGTGGTTATTGCTCCTTCTTTATACAACAGATATTGGTGGTGGAGATTCGAATAAATAAGCTTGAGCGCAATGATAAAGCGTTTTACATTAAAAATTTGACTAGGGTACACATACGCATATGCATTTATTTAAAACATTCATCTCATTCATCATTAGTTTGAATATCTAATTATTAGAGGGTGAATTATATTAAATAAATTCATGTACAATATTCGAGTCCCTAAATTTGATCAAGGTTATTTAATTTGAATCTGGGCTTGTTGTGTTGAGATTTGATGATGTGAGTAAAAGTTTGTCCCACATCGGTGAGGGACATGTCTTGCTATGAGCTTATAAGATGAAATTAATTTTAGGGTTTCAGTATATTTCTTTTTATATTCTTCTCTCATAGGAGGCAACATATATATACATACATACATTTATACATACATACATACATACATACATACATACATACATACATACATACATACATACATACTCGATCCTTGTACTGCAAGGAATATTAAAGACATAAAAGGAGAGTTATACCCAAACTAGGAAACACAATTACATTCCTATTGTATTATTGATGACTCACGCCAACACTCCCCATCAAGTTGGTGCACAGATATCACATAGGCCCAACTTGTCAAGTGAGTCTTGAAACCTTATTGCAGAAACTACATGAGTTAGAATATCTGCCAACTGTTTTTTTGTCTTCACGAACGAAATGTCAACCAACTTAACATCCAACTTTTCTTTGATAAAATGTTTATTCACCGCAACATGTTTGGTCCTATCATGCTGCATTGCATTGTTAGCTATTTCTCGTGCTACTTGATTATCACAGTACAACATCATAAAACCTTTTGGTTTAAACCCTAACTCAGTGAGTAGAATCCAAAGCCATAGAAGCTCACAAATACCATGTGTCATTCCTTTGTACTCAGCCTCGGCCGAAGACCTTGCCACCACATTTTGCTTCTTACTTCTCTATGTCACAAGATTACCAGCTACAAATGTGAAGTATCCCGACGTAGACATTTCCAACCCAATCTGCGTCTATATACCCTTTCACCTCCATATGCCCATGCTTTCTATACATTAACCCTTTTCCTGGAGCTCATTTTAAGTAATTCAGAATCCGCATTACTATTTCCATATGATCTTCACTAGGAGCATGCATAAATTGACTAACCACACTTACTACGTAAGCAATATCTGGCCTTTGTAAGCGACAAA